GAGGGAAATGGAGAATGGTGGGGAGGACAAGGGTACAGGGCAGTGGGGGATGGTGGGGAGGACGATGGGACGGGAGAGGAGGGGGAAAGGTAGGGAGGACGAGGGGAAAGGGGAGTGGAAGATGGTGGGGAGGATGAGGGGACGGAGGAGTGGGGAAGGGTTATGAGGACGAGGGGACGCTGTAGGGGGGGATGGTGTGGAGGACAAAGAGACAAGGGAGGGGGGGGGTAACTGTGGAGAGGACGAGGGGACGGCGGAGTGGGGAATGGTTGTGGAGGACGAGGGGACGGGGGAGTGGGGAATGGTTGTGGAGGACAGGGGGATGGGGGAGTAAGGAATGGTTGGGAGGACGAGGGGATAGGGGAGGGCAGAATGGTAGGGAGGACTGGGAGACAGGGGAAAGTTGCTGTGGCTGCTTTGCTGTGCCACAGCAACGCATGGCCCGGTACAGCTAATCAATATAAATAAAAATGGAAATGTTTGCTTGTTCAAAATCGCTAATTTCCGAAAGTTCTTCACCGATTGCTTTGAAATTTTCACACAACGTTTCATTCGCATCCGAGCAGGTTTTTATATACATACCATATAGATGTCCCGTCTGTGACGGAAAAAAACATGCTTTTTCTGAAAAACTGTTTTTCATGTTTTTTCATGTGAGGGAAATCTTCGAAACCTCATTACCGATTGCTTTGAAATTTTGACTCAACATTGCATTCGAATAGGCGCGTTTTTTTATATATCTACTATATACATGTCTCACATGTGACAGGAAAAAACTAACTTTTTTTGAAAAAACAGCACCATCTGTTGGACGTAAGAGCAACACATGCTGTAATTTATGAAAGTTCTTCACAGATTGCTTTAAAATTTTGACACAATGTTACAATCGAATAGGGGTGTCTTTTTAAATGCCTACTATATAGATGCCACCCCTGTGACAAGTAAAAACATGCGTTTTTACCGTTGTACATAACAGCAACATGCATGCTATACTAAACACGTCACGAATACCATTTCAAAGTTTCCGATTGCATTGATAAATTTCATTTTCATAGATTTCGATTTATTTTATTTTTTATTGAGTTATTTTGTGACATTGTGTTGGAATTGGGCTGCGTTCTTTACTATACCATTCATTTCGTAAGTATAAGTATAGATGCCACACCTGTGACAGGTGAAACTATGCTTTTCTTGAATTACAGCACCATCTGTTGCATGTAGGAGCAACACACATGCTATATTAGATATGTTACAATTCCATTTCACTGTTTCTGATTGCATTGATAAATTGAATTTTCATAGATTTTGATTTATTTTCATTTTGATTTAATTATTTGTGAGAATTGCATTGGAATTGAGCTGTGTTGTTTACCAGACCGTTCATTTCGTGAGTATAGTTTATTTATATTTTTTTATATTTTCATTTAATTTTTTAACCATTTTTCTTATATTTCAGTGAAGGAAAATCATATCACTTGATGTTCCCAATTTTCTGATGGGAACATCAGACCATTTGGGAAGGCATCGGACAAGGGAGTGGGGAATGGTGTGGATGACGAGGGGACAGAAGTGAGAGATGGTGCAGAGGACGAGGGGACGGGAAAGTTTGGAATGGTGGGGGACGAGGGGATGGGGGGAATGGAGAATGGTGGGGAGGACAAAGGGACAGAGAAGTGGAGCATGGTGGGAAGGAAGAGGGGATGGTGGAGTGGGGAATAGTGGGGAGGACGAGGGGATGGTGGAGTGGGGAATAGTGGGGAGGAATAGGGAACGGTGTAGTGGGAAATGGTTAGGAGGCCGAGGAGCCGGGTGAGGGGGAGAATGGTGGGGAGGACTGGGAAGGTTGCTGTGGCTCAGCAACACACATGCGTTGCTGGGTCACAGCAACGTGTGGCCGGGTACTGTTAATAATATAATAAAGAAGAATTAGGAGATGAGCCCAAAACATGGAAAGTGCTGGGGGGAGTCACGGCGGCTCGACAGGGTGGTTGTTCATGACCAATAGGCCAGATTGGAGCCGTTTTCCCAAGTAAAGGTGACGTGAAACTTCTCTCCGAGTATATAACGATTTCAGGGTGATTCCTGAATATGTACTCCTGTGTCCATTATTGATTGATTGACGACAGCAACAGTGTAGTTACAGTGGTTGATCTTATTTTATCAGGGAAGTGGTATGGGTCTCTGTTCGCTAGTAAGTAAAGTAAAGTTCATTAATAAGGTTATTAAAATCCCCGACCACTGATATCATATAGATATCATGGGGTTGGTATTCGAGTGTTTTCACTGCATGGTTTACAATTCCTGTGAATTATGTCACGTATCATCTTTTCACGACTGTTATAGACCTGAATAAATGTATTTTATTAGTTCACTGCAATGTTTTGACCTTTGTAGGATGATTATCCTTCCATGATGGCCGATTATCCCACAGTGGTGACTTAGCGTCTTACTAACAATCTCGTTTAACTTCCCTTTTACTGTAATCGTTATTCACAATTGTGGTGAATACATTCGAGTTCATAGTGCAAGAGCTGCCAAGAAGAACAGGCAAACAATGCACGACCTACACATGCACTGAACATGGTTTTCTTATATAACCACGAAGTGTGAGGAGGGTAAGACTCATGGTCCGTAGGCCTTCTGCAGTTGCTGAATTCTCTGTGTTCTTATATTGGCTGGGCCTACGTGTGCTAGGTATTGGCTGGGTCAGTGTGTGCTGGATATTGGCTGGGCCAGTGTGTGTTGGGTATTGACTGGACCAGTGTGTGCTGGGTATTGGCTGGGTCAGTGTGTGTTGGGTATTGGCTGGACCAGTGTGTGTGGTAGGTATTGCCTGGGCCAGTGTGTGCTGGGCATTGGCTGGACCAGTGTGTGTTGGGCATTGGCTGCACCAGTGTGTGTGCTGGGTATTGGCTGGGCCAGTGTGTGCTGGGTATTGGCTGGACCAGTGTGTGCTGTGTACTGGCTGGGCCAGTGTGTGCTGGGGTATTGGCTGGACCAGTGTGTGTGGTAGGTATTGCCTGGGCCAGTGTGTGCTGGGCATTGGCTGGACCAGTGTGTGTTGGGCATTGGCTGCACCAGTGTGTGCTGGGGTATTGGCTGGACAAGTGTGTGCTGGGTATTGGCTGGACCAGTATTTGCTGGGTATTGGTTGGGTCAGTGTGTGCTGGGTATTGGCTGGACCAGTGTGTGCTGGGTATTGGCTGGACCAGTGTGTGTTGGGTATTGGCTGGACCAGTGTGTGTTGGGTATTGGCTGGACCAGTGTGTGTGGTAGGTATTGCTGGGCCAGTGCTTGCTGGGTATTGGCTGGACCAGTGTTTGCTGGGTATTGGCTGGGCCAGTGTGTGCTGGGTATTGGCTGGACCAGTGTTTGTTGGGTATTGGCTGTGCCAGTGTTTGCTGGGTATTTGCTGGACCAGTGTTTGCTGGGTATTGGCTGGACCAGTGTGTGCTGGGTATTGGCTGGACCAGTGTGTGCAGGGTATTGGCTGGACCAGTGTTTGCTGGATATTGGCTGGACCAGTGTTTGCTGGGTATTGGCTGGACCAGTGTTTGCTGGGTATTGGCTGGACCAGTGTTTGCTGGGTATTGGCTGGACCAGTGTTTGCTGGATATTGGCTGGACCAGTGTTTGCTGGGTATTGGCTGGACCAGTGTTTGCTGGGTATTGGCTGGACCAGTGTTTGCTGGATATTGGCTGGACCAGTGTTTGCTGGGTATTGGCTGGACCAGTGTTTGCTGGATATTGGCTGGACCAGTGTTTGCTGGGTATTGGCTGGACCAGTGTTTGCTGGGTATTGGCTGGACCAGTGTGTGGTGGGTATTTTGTCTTGGCTTTGAGGATTGTAGAATGCATCTGATTGTGAGCTGGATATTAATAGTTGATTGAGATTGTTTGAAATGCAGTGCGTCGCCGATATTTAATCTATTGTCGTTGAATCTGTCGAATATTTCGGTGAAGTTGGTCAGGATATCTCTGGTGATTATCTGTTGTGTGTAGAAATAATGCTCTTCGATGGGACCGTGTTGTTTATGCATTGCCAGATGCCTTGACAGTGATGTTGTTTTGTCAGAATATTAAGAACCTTTGGGGATGACAGTCCCTAGGTGGGTACGCGAAGGCACAGATGGGATTTGTCTCTTTCAGTGCATTTCGCTTCATTTCAGGAGAGTTATTTATGAGCAAGTTGGTGGTCTTCTTGCTCTTAAAGTAGATTGTCAACTATATCTCAAGTGACAGTTGTTTCCTAATATCGCCAAATATCCTGCTCGGGGTCTTCCTCCTTTCCCTGCTGATTTGTATTGTTTTATTCTTTCTTAAAGACTTGCTGCTCCATTATATTTCCTGAGTTATATATTATAGTTTTATTTTCTGAGAATCATTTTAATATTTTTGGAAACGTTTGTGTGGCTAGTAAGAACAGATAAGTGTTTGCTGGATGGGTGATTATTTTTGTACAAAGTTATATATTTCGTTTGTGAATTATTTGTTCAAGTGAGGATGTGGACATGAGGCCAGGTAGGAGGAGGGCAATAAGTGCGACCATAGACTCCCGAGATTTATTCTGAACATTTCCTTGACCTTAGCTTTTTAAGGTCAGCATTTTGCACGTCCCATCTCTCAAACCCAAACAAGCTAAGACTTTCATTTTTAAATTAAGGCTAACTAAGTATTAAGAAGTCAACCCCAAGTTCCATTGGCTCTTATCATTGTCAACAATGGATTTAGATTGACAGTAAATTATAGATAACTAAAAACTGCACTTTTTTTATCCCAATTTTGAATGAGAAATTTTAAGTAGAGGAACCTATACATTTCATAGTTATTTTGCTTACCTGATAAGAAATACTTTTCTACATAGCAATTCTAATAAGAAAGCTAGTAAATTCATCTGAGGTAAATGCTTTGTAAGCATTAAGAAACAATGTATTTGGCGGAGTTAAAAACGCTGACAGTAAAGGTAGATTGGTACTTGGCTGACTCTATTGTTCTTGACAGGTGAATAATGCAGGAATAGTTGGCATGGGAGAGAAGAATCTAACAGCAGATGGTCTGGAGCTGACAATGGCCACAAACTATTTTGGACACTTCCTGCTCACCAACATGCTGTTAGGTAAGTTCAGACCGGCTTCCTTCTCACCAACATGCTGTTAAGTAAGCTCAGAGCGGCTTCCTTCTCACCAACATGCTGTTAGGTAAGCTCTGAGCGGCTTCCTTCTCACCAACATGCTGTTAGGTAAGCTCTGAGCGGCTTCCTTCTCACCAACATGCTGTTAGGTAAGCTCTGAGCGGCTTCCTTCTCACCAACATGCTGTTAGGTAAGCTCAGAGCGGCTTCCTTCTCACCAACATGCTGTTAGGTAAGCTCTGAGCGGCTTCCTTCTCACCAACATGCTGTTAGGTAAGCTCTGAGCGGCTTCCTTCTCACCAACATGCTGTTAGGTAAGCTCTGAGCGGCTTCCTTCTCACCAACATGCTGTTAGGTAAGCTCTGAGCGGCTTCCTTCTCACCAACATGCTGTTAGGTAAGCTCTGAGCGGCTTCCTTCTCACCAACATGCTGTTAGGTAAGCTCTGAGCGGCTTCCTTCTCACCAACATGCTGTTAGGTAAGCTCTGAGCGGCTTCCTTCTCACCAACATGCTGTTAGGTAAGCTCTGAGCGGCTTCCTTCTCACCAACATGCTGTTAGGTAAGCTCTGAGCGGCTTCCTTCTCACCAACATGCTGTTAGGTAAGCTCTGAGCGGCTTCCTTCTCACCAACATGCTGTTAGGTAAGCTCTGAGCGGCTTCCTTCTCACCAACATGCTGTTAGGTAAGCTCTGAGCGGCTTCCTTCTCACCAACATGCTGTTAGGTAAGCTCTGAGTGGATTTACTGAGTTAAGGGAAATAGCTCAGATCCATGAATAAAATAACAATTAAATTGAAGACATATGAACTGTGGTGATCCCGGCTTCCTGGGTTTATATCCCCATAATGTAACATTTATTTTTAAATGGCGTCGTATGGTGTATTTTCTTCTTTAACGTCTTCTCCATTAGTGAATTCCTATACACAAAGAAGGGTACTTCAAAAGGATATTAAAGCAACAAGTGCTTTTATGTAAATGTACGATGCCTCTATGGCTAATAACAAGTCAATGGACAAAACTACTTTTATGCTACAAATTCCAACCCGTCATAGTCTTAAGTCATTACAACCAGCGGTCGACTCCACGGACGCATTCATAAATATTTACATGCTCTTCATTCAAAACGGGAATTTTTTCAAACATATATTAGAATTATAATATAATTAGCATGTTGTGCATATATAGGCATAGTTTAAGTTAGGTGTTTAGGTTTGTTGGCGATTATTTGTATTTGTAGTACGTAGGTGAAGAATTTATAGCGTTATGGTTCGAACAAAATTCGTCAGTGAAGCACTTGTTTTTGAAGTGTTCGAACGAAATCAGTTGTGAGTCGTGTTTAAACCATTTTTCCTTCATAAACAAGGGGTTTGGCGGGAGCACGGAATCACTTTCGGGATTTTGTTTGGAGGACAGGCAGACAAATTCAGACTCGATAATGCATTTGCTCCTGATTTGTGACATGAAACCATCGATCCTTCATTGTAGAAAATTGTTTGAATTATTCGGACCAAGACGCAATGGACTTCTGAGCTGCACAATCTGTTGCAGACCTCTTAGCTGCCAGATACTGCCTATAGGGTTCTCAGAGATATAAGCTAGTTTGGACGCTTGGAGAGAACAGCTCACTATAAATGCCAAATATGCTGTTATTGCAGAGATTGCACCACACACAAAATAGTTAATTTACTGAGTCCCTTACTGAGAGAAGTCCACGGGAGACATCTCCCGTCACGCAGGGTGCAGTCGCACCTCCACAGATCACCAGTATCATCTATTGATGCTGGTAATGGCTCAAAAGGGCCTCCACTTACGGGCTATTCATGCCCGTGCCACCTTTTGGGTGGCTTAATCCTCATCATCCTCATCAATCGAGAGAAGTCACCACATCCCCACCTCTGTGTTTGACAGTCACCAACCATCTTCATCACTGCATTAGCACCTCGGTGTAGGACAGTCACCAACCATCTTTAACTAGTGACTCAAGGAAGCAACGTAAGTGCTTCTTTTAATCAAACCCGCTTATGTACCTGTGGTGAGTGTGTGAGGTCACGCTTAAGTGTCGGTGGTGAGCATGACAGGTTACGCTTATGTAACGCTTATGTATGGCCAAGGTTCTGTTACAACCCTCGAGGAAGCATGGGTGAGGTGGCCAAGCTTCTGTTACAATCCTCCAGAAAGCACTGGTGTGGTGGCCAGGGTTCTGTTACAACTCTCCAGGAAGCACTGATGTGGTGGCTAGGGTTCTGTTACAACCCTTCAGGAAGCACTGGTGTGGTGGCTAGGGTTCTGTTACAACCCTTCAGGAAGCACTGGTGTGGTGGCTAGGGTTCTGTTACAACCCTTCAGGAAGCACTGGTATGGTGGCCAAGGTTCTGTTACAACTCTCCAGGAAGCACTGGTGTGTTGGCTAGGGTTCAGTTACAACCCTCCAGGAATCACTGGTGTGTTGGCTAGGGTTCTGTTACAACCCTCTAGGAAGCACTGGTGTGGTGGCCAAGGTTCTGTTACAACCCTCCAGGAAGCACTGGTGTGGTGGCCAGGTGTTATTACCCAAGAGTGCCAGGAAGGCCACGGCACTGATTGAGCACCTGATAGAGGGGACCTGGCTGGCATTCTAAAGGATGAGTCAGTGGACAGCCTAGTCATTGAGTACCCTGCCTCTGTAGTGACGAGGGCAGAGGTGGCCGACAAGGAAGACACTGGAAAGGATGTGTCAGTGTCGACTCCACTGCAAGAAAAAATTGACGTGAAGATAGCGTAGCTGTTTGGTGAGGGTCTAGCTCAGGAAAATGAAGGCTCGGTGAGGTCAGAAGTGAAGACGATCCTACCGGAGAAACCTAATGGGGACAGAGTGGACCTGAGTAAAGCCCAGCCCGCTGAAATCGATAGTCAGAAGGTTGAGATAACTGTGCTGAGCAGAAGTGAGGAAGAATGTGGACAGACTGAGGACGGGAGTAGAGTGTCAAGTTGTCCACAGGAACCGAAGTGTAGGGATAAAGAAGTTGTCAGAAGTCGACACATTTCACGGGAAGCGTGAAGAAGAGATAGCGAAGAGGAGTGATAGCCAAGAAGAGGAAGTGAGAAGAGATAATATGTGTGGAGAGAAGCTTACGAACACTCTGGAAGAGGTAGAGCAACAAATACGGTCGTGTTGTTGAGTATAATGCAGTACTTGAGGGAACGATGAAAAGTTGAAGGAAGCACTGGTGTGGTGGCCAGGGTTCTATTACAACCCTCCAGGAAGCACTGGTGTGGTGGCCAAGGTTCTATTACAACCCTCCAGGAAGCACTGGTGTGGTGGCCAAGGTTCTATTACAACCCTCCAGGAAGCACTGGTGTGGTGGCCAAGGTTCTATTACAACCCTCCAGGAAGCACTGGTGTGGTGGCCAAAGTTCTATTACAACCCTCCAGGAAGCACTGGTGTGGTGGCCAAGGTTCTATTACAACCCTCCAGGAAGCACTGGTGTGCTGGCCAAGGTTCTATTACAACCCTCCAGGAAGCACTGGTGTGGTAGCCAAGGTTCTATTGCAACCCTCCAGGAAGCACTGGTGTGGTGGCCAAGGTTCTATTGCAACCCTCCAGGAAGCACTGGTGTGGTGGCCAAGGTTCTATTACAACCCTCCAGGAAGCACTGGTGTTGTAGCCAAGGTTCTATTGCAACCCTCCAGGAAGCACTGGTGTGGTGGCCAAGGTTCTATTGCAACCCTCCAGGAAGCACTGGTGTGGTGGCCAAGGTTCTATTACAACCCTCCAGGAAGTACTGGTGTGGTGGCCAAGGTTCTAATACAACCCTCCAGGAAGCACTGGTGTGGTGGCCAAGGTTCTGTTACAACCCTCCAGGAAGCACTGGTGTGGTGGCCAAGGTTCTGTTACAACCCTCCAGGAAGCACTGGTGTGGTGGCCAAGGTTCTGTTACAACCCTCCAGGAAGCACTTAAGGGCAAGCTTAGTACTCACTGTTATTTTTTGTAAAGCCGATATTTAATTCATAAAGTATTAAAAGTATCGATACTGACTGCATTTTGGGACTGAAGTTTGTTCGTGTTTTATTGGTGATTGATGGTAATTTTGGGTTGTAGATCCTCAGGCGTAAATACTTTAGGTGAGATAAAGGAAGAGAGAGAGCGTGTTCAGACGGTCATGTCTGCTTTAGGGAAAGTTAAATCTAAAGCGGCAAGAAAAATCATCCCAAAAGTAAGTCATACTATGAGCGGTTGAGAGCTACAGGGCTAACATAACAACAAACCAGACATGATAGGGCTGATCTCATCTAAACTTGACCATCTCGACTTACAATCGAGAATTCCGGATTCGAATCCCGGGCTGGACAGAAATGCTTGGGCGAATTTCTTATCACCTAATGCATCTGTTCACCTATCAGTAAGTAGGCACTCAGGAGTTAGACAGCTTGTTTTGGGTTGCATCCTTGTCGGGGTCATTGATTCGACCTTGTGGTGGGACCTAGATATAAGCCCAACGTGTATGAATGCACTCTGGCTTCCTGTCCCCCAACACAATGAATTATTTATAAAACTTCTTCAAAGGTCAGATGTAACACAAACAAGGAGCAACGGGTTCAAACTCAATAAACCACTATGTTGTACTGTGAACAGATGCTTTTTCACCCACAGGGATATAAACCCAAGGAACCGCCTACCTCCAGAAGCCGTCGAACATTACTGAATTTTAAAATCCAGCTCGATAAAATTATTATGACAAATGGGAGGACCATTGACAAGCCGCCAGCTTCCAGTTCTTGTCGAGGCCACTAAAGTGTTAGGAACCCTCAGGTAATTTCAGAGGAGTGAATAATACAGTGTTTCCAAGGCAGAGCGAAATTCATAGTATTGTATTTTAAGGGTAACTCCTGCTGTTGTAGAAACATGCTTGTTATATTTTGCGTATGACAATTGCCATTAAAATTGTTGCCAATGTGAACAGCAGCGAATTTCCCATCTACTCTGCTTTCAGTCTGGTTATTGTTA